TACTATAGTTTTTTGCTATTGATATTGCAGATTGAGTACTTGGAGCTCTATTGTTGTTGGAAGAATGAAAAACTACTAATAAACGATTCTAGATCATTTGGGTTTACAAGTTTTGGAGATCAGGGCACACTTACTCTGTTTTTATAGAATGTGGCATTACATATTTTATCATTCTGAACCTTTTGCCTCTAGTACGATATCAGGGTTTCTAAGTTCCATGTTGGTCTCTGTTTGCAGGCGATGTTAAAGGTCAACGATATTCCAGAGCAGGTAAGAAAACAACTCAACACTCCGGTATGTGTTAACATCTAAGTGTAGGGGGTTATACATTGATGACTCAATTTTGTAACATTTATAAGGTGTGTACTCGAGGGTGGTGAAGACGGGTGTTCCGCGGACATATGCATCTGCTAAAAGAGGTAACGCTTGGTTGATCGGTGCACCTTTCCTTTTGATCGTCCTTGGAACCATTGGACTTGGTGGAATCAAAGCTAACAGGTCAGTTCCACATGTATATATTTGTTTCTTTTCTCTTTCCATTAGTTTATCCTTGAGACCTTTTGATAAAACACATAATTATCATTGGTGTTTATTGGGTACTTGACATTTGCAGGGCTTATACTCAGCAAAAACAGACATTCCCATCTCACAATCCTTTCCTTCCTTGATTCAGAGTCTATCGACACAACATTTTGTATCATTGGATATTTTACTTTTTATTTTTTGTACAAATGTTGTTATCCCAGCACTCTTTCTATATCTTTTTAGAGAAAATTGGATCATCAACTATTAAGATATCATGCAAACACAAACTGATGCTGCTCAAATCTCGAGTTTATACGCCAAACGAAATAAAAAAAGCCAACCAGAAAACTTCTGAATAAAAGACTTACTAAATTAAAATAGATTATGATAAATAAAAGTACCAGTAGAAGTTATTTTCATACATAAACAGAAACAACCGAAAGAAATTATTTTCATACATAAGAAGTTATTTTCGCATTAAGCAAAGGAAGCTTCATTGTTCAGAATAAGACATGTGACTTCGAAAAAAATAAAAAGAGGTGAAACAACCGAAAGAAAGAGATCGTAGAAACAAAAACTTTGGTGATGCAGAGATTCCCAAATCAACGTTTCTTCTCCCACAAACTTGGATGAAATTGAGCAATCTTCTTCTTGATGGCAACAACAACTAAGGTTTTTATGAACCCAGCCATGTACTAATACATAACCAATAGGTCCAAAACCTTAACAATCCCCTAAATTTTTAACCTTATACTAAACCCACGAAAATAAAATGAAAAAGAGAAGGTGCAACTACTACTAAGGTAAACTACTACTCCAAGACTTAAGGACCATTATCAAAGACTTAAGGACCATCGTAATTCTGCAGTTTCTGATATGGAAAAACACTATTTTCCATGTCTTAGTGATCTCTATCTGGTATTCAAAGTAGTACCATATATGTTCTGCTTATGGTTACTACTAGATCTTCGGTATTAAGATTGGATTTCAGGCAACAGTTTGGATACCTGTCACGGTTTCAGTAGCTGTCTTGTTTATTGTCTCTGCAGCAAGGTTAATAGTTATTGGTTTCCATCCCGTTGGATGAAAGTTAATCCATTTCTTTGAGGTTGCTGTTATATTCAAGATCTGAACTATGTCACCTACAGTGTACTCTTTTAGGCATTCCTTCTTCAGAAGTTGTGCGGCTTCGTAGCTATATATTAGATCCAAAGAAGAGAAAAGAATGTTAGAATGATTCTTTAATAAAATAACCATAGATTCCTTAAGTAAACGAACTTTCTAACCTGCACTGAGTTGCCATAAATGCCACCCGCCCAGAAGATGAGGTTAGAAACTGTTGAATTCTATCCCAAGTTGCTTTTGGGTATTGCTTAGAGTTTCCACCTAAAGGGTTTACACAGTTCCATAGAGCTTCGTCTTTACCAATGTAAAGCTTTAGCTGACCCATATTACTCACCATGATCATATGATGCTCTATGGCACTGTCTAAAGCTTTCTTTACATCAGTACCGCGATGCTTTGGATCTCCATACTGAATGCAATCCGAGATATTAGGCTCGGTAGGCATAACTTTTTCAGTTTTCAAAATGTTTAGAGCATGTAAGATAACGCCTATAAGGCCTTGAACATACTCAGATGGTGGTGGACACTGTTGTGTTCTCCACATACCATTGCTGGAACCAGATCCAGTAGTAACAACTGGAGGCTGGGAAGGCGAGACTCCAGGAGTGGAAGAGTTGGTGTAGCCTGTGGTTGTAGTAGTATGTGTTACTGGGGCACTGCTACTCCGAGGAAGATAACCCTTATTTGGACCATTTGCACTAGGAGCATATGATGATTCCATCTTTGGTCTGAACTCTTGTCTAACTTGATGATTGAAATTAGGCCGATTTTGAGGTTGGCTCGGGTATTGTTGAGAAACATTTAGATTGCTGATATCAGGTGTAGCCATGAGAGGAGGAGACGAAAACCTAGGCCCATCGTTTCTCTGTTGCATTGGACGGAAACCATTACCCATAGGAGGATTCAGATTCTCTGGGCGATAAGGTCGGAAAACATTACCATAAGGCGGCCGCATATTAGGAGCACCTGGCCTGGCAACATTGGGATTATAGTTCTGCGCATGGTTTGGGAGGCTATTTCCATTATTCCAAGAAGGATTAGAATTAGGGTAAGGTTGTCTTGGAGGAAAAGAAACAGGTCTAGGAGGACAATTGTACTGATTCTGAGGATTACTCATGACATTACCAGGGAAAGGACTACCATTGCTGGATGGTAAACTAGGAGCAGATGGCTCACTACTTGTAAACAACTCATGGGGTTTCTTCATCAGCTTTCCTTGACCATTCTGTTGCGGACGGTTGTTATTGTTAGGCTTACTTTCTGAAGCCTTAGGCGGGGGAGGCTGATGACTTGTCGGTTTCGGAACGTATTTAACCTTGAATTTGTTATCAAGGATTCTTCTAGTGTCAGAGTTTGAATCCAGAGGTTGGCTTGAAGGAACACACTCCTGAGTTGATGTCTCTGAACCAGAAGTCGAAGGTGTAGCATTGGCAATAAGCTGCAAGCTTTCGAGTCGCGAGAGAGGACTTCCACCAGCTGATAAGCTTGTCCAAAGCCACACCGTCCTCGCAGCGTGAACTAGCGGCACGGATGCTTTACGAGGCTGTGCTAAGAGCACATTGTACCGTCTCAATCTCAATTGGTGAAGAGCATCAGAGAAGTCTCTGTCCCCTGAGATTAACATACAATTTGCAGGTGCAGGATTGTCTAGTGCCCAACAAAACATGTTCACTAAAATCTTCTTATCACTCGCATCTTTCGCTCCTGAACACACACATTAAAAACAAAAGTTTAGCT